ATTATTGATTGAATCAGCTCCATATAGAACATAGCTCTAGAGTTTATACTCTGTTTAATGATGATAGATTATTGATTGAGTCCCAGATTGTGTCGTTACTCTAACAGTGAAAGTAGAACGCTTTCAGCTTCAGTAAACACTGTTTACTTCACTGTGTTGTTATAAAGTGGGACAAAATGAAATGAGCTCAGTGTTCAGATAGTTCCCTTTTTAAAAGATTTAGCAGAACAGAAATAGTGTAAAAGCTCGTCGGGGGGGTTGGTGCAGTTTATTGTTGATGATGTTTATTTCCCAGCAGTGATTTCAGAATAAAAGCACATAAAGTGTTTGTGCTGCTCATTAAATCCTCTGCTGCAGACTGGAAGCTGCATCTTAATTAACTGTCAATTAACTCCAACAACTGGAGTCTCACAAGTGGAGGCTTAACTGATCCTGAACACACACACACACACACACACACACAATTCATCAATCTATTTCAAAAGGTTTTAATTTCAGTTATTAGTCATGTGCTGATGTGAGCCCAGGACAGGATTTGTTTTTTTTTAGCTTTTTTTTTTATTATGTAACGCTCAGCTGTAAATATCTGAGTGTTCAGAACAATCAGTTGTAATATTTATTTGTTTGTTGGCTCCTTCAGTGTTTCTTCAGTGTGATCTTTGAATGATGTACGTGCAGAGCAGTTCTGCTCCTTTCTAATCACACCTGCAACCTGTGTGATGCATTCATGGGTAAGTGGTCTGGGTGCAGGCGTCCTCTGATGCTTTGGTCCCGATCTACTATAAAGTCTGTATGATTGTTGAAAATGATAAACATACATAATACAATAATAATAATAAAATATGTCACTTTATGAAATGATAGAAAGGATCCCTGAAGCCAAAATGTTGGAAACCACTGAAGTAGACAAATTTCTAAAACGTTAGAAAACAAGCAACATTTGCATATTCTGTCCTTTTTAATGAGGTAGAAGGAGTTGATGCTTTTTAAGGATTTTAATGAGGAAATGATGCTTTTAATATATCAGACACACTTTGTATTTGTGTCTTAATAAATGTCGAGGGTCCGGTCTTACATACGAGATATTTTGGTGCATTACAACAAACAAAGTTCTGCAGAAGTCGAGGATCATAACTAATTACAATAAAAAATGGCAACCATTAATCCATAATCAGTCTTCTTCTACATCTTGTCATACCACCCGCTCTTCTCTCTCCATCATCTCTCTCTCCTGCCTTTATTGCCTCTCTCTTTAGTCGCTCTCTCTCTCTCTCTGCTGTCAGTCTGTTGAGGCTATAAATAGAGCAGCTGCTGGCACACAGTCTCAATCTACACACACACACACACTGTAAAACACACACTTTTTTCTGTCTCTGCGTCACTGCAGAACTCAGCTTCCTCTGCATTTTTCTTTCATCCCTTCTTCTTCCTCACCTCTCAGTCCTCTCTTTCAGCTCTGGGCTCTGAATCGTAGTTTTACTGAAATCCTGATTGTATTCGAGCAGCTTTGAACCGTATTAACAGTAATGTGTTAATGAGCTGGAGAAAACCCATCTTTTCTATTCTCTATTAACATACCTGGAGAGGAAAAAAAACATTTGTGATTCACAAATCATGTCTTCATTTCCTCTAATCTTGATGATAATGATGATAATGATAATTTTTTATCAGTTGTTGAAATGGAACCATGGGTGAAGTTTAGAGGAGAAACAACTCGGAGACTTGTTGCATGTTGTCCTGATAATGGACACCTCAATCGGGAAGGAAAAAGTATAAGATCAACTGACTAATGGCAATGTAAACATTGTTCACTGCTCCAGTATATCGAATGAACCATAGATACAACTTGACTAACGTTACGCTACGAGTCATAGAGCTAACAGTATGCTACTTACGAGATATTCATATTTTGTTCTCATTCCGTTTATTTCTGTGCATTATTCTGGAACTGCTGCATTAGGAAGTAATGGACACCCTGCAGCCAATCAGAATCCAGTATTCAGTCAGACTATGGTATAATATCTAACTTTGTGTCGGCTAATTATCAAAATTCTTGACTAAGTAAATTGGACTTTACAGTACTCGAGTAACTGTAGTAGTTACAGACGACCTCTGCACTGCAGTAGCATTACTACGCTCTACTACAGCGACGTTGTGTTAATTAGACACTGCAGAGTGTGTGTGTGGTCACACAGATCCAGGATCTGTATTTTTAGCTCATTAATCGTCAGTTCGCTGGTTCGAGGCTGTTAACCGTCTGTCTGCAGCACAGAAAGTCCACTTCACTCCAGCTGGCAGCGGGGCGACCGTCCTCAGTGAAGAGAGAGAGAGAGGGAGAGGAGACAGGAGAGAGACAGACAAGAAGACGAGAGAGACAGAGAAAGTGAGAGACAAGAAAGAGACGAGAAAGAATGAGAGAGAGAGAGGATGGAGCAGGTGGGACAGAAAGTGAAAGAATCAGGGTGGAAAATGTGCTGATGGAGGTTCAAAGTAAAGTTTCTGTGCTCTAAATTCAAACCCAGAAGAGACACAGTCACACACACTGGAACCTCCTATAACAGCGGTAGATCAGTGTTTACTGCCCCACAGGACAGATTCACAGCCAGGTGAACACGAGTAACAATGATCTGCCCTCTTACAGTCTACTGTACATTACTGTCTATTGAGGGAACAGAACAACGTTACACTCCAAAGGAAACAACTCTGAGAACTGTTATATAAGAATAAATCTACCAACCTGCGACATTTCTATATTTCTATGAAATCTGTAATAGTTCATAATATCTATAACCATATATAAAACCTGTAACAGTCTATGATATCTATAACATCTGTATGATCTGTAACAGTCAGTAACATATGCAGCTCTCCATGAGATCTATAACAGTTTATAACAATCTATACCTTCCTATAACATCAGTAAACATCTGTGACAATCTATAGCATCTCTAACAGTCAATAACATCTGTAAAAGTTAAAACATCTGCAGCTGCCCATGAGATCTAATAATCAAAGCACATTACATCTGAAGATATAAACCTTTAAAACACGTGTAACACCTGTACCAATAACATCTGTAAGATCTCTCAGTCTATAACATCTGTAAATATATAATATATATAACATTAACATTTTCACCAGAAACATCTGTAACAGTTTGTAGTGAGCCTTTCTACATATATTGTTCTATTTTTATCAATTCAATATTGTTTTTATTTTCATTGATATTTTATTTCATTGTTTTATGTCCCTCTGCTCCAGATTATTTTAATAATTCATCAGAAATTAAAAACTAAAATCCCTGTGAATTCTCCCAGCTGAGGACGAGAGACATAGAGAGAGACAGATGGAGAGAGAGAGGAGCAGGATGAGGATGGAGGAGAGGAAGGGACAGAGCAGGTGGGAGGGACGGATGGAAAACTGACCCAACAGATGCTGAACGAGGACAAATCTGGACCACACACACACACACACACACAGTTAATCTGCAGCAGGCTAATACAGTCTGGCATCAATTCAGTTTCCATCCAAGAGTCCTGTTAGCTACACACACACACACACACACACACACACACACTGCTCAGTGTAAACCAGTATAAACCAGTCTGCACTGGGTGCTGTTAACCCCTCCCTCTCTCTGCGCAGATACGTTGGACTAAGACGGCGGGCGGAGCCTCGGACCGCCAGGGCGACTCCTCGCTGCACAACGAAACTCTGAAGATCGATAATATCAGCCGCCACCAGGGGGGGCGCTACTATTGCAAGGCTGAGAACGGGCTGGGATCCCCCGCCATCCGCTCCATACGAGTCGACGTCTACTGTAAGAACACACACACACAGCAGCTGGTTAGCTTAGCTTAGCATAAAGGAAGTTCAGTGTTGAAGCTCCATCAGTGGCTCCGATATCGGACTGGTATGTAAAGTTCTGGAGGGATGGATGAAGCTGGCTGTGTGGATTAAGGAGTAGCCAGTGACCTACATGAGACCTCCTTATACGTGACAAACACTTTGTGTTGTTGTTTGTGTGCGTCAAGGCTGATTGTTGTTGACCTAAATGTGTGCAAGCAGGGAGCTGTTTTCCTGCCGCGGTGATTCCCTCCCCGGAGGTCTGCCAGCTTCTGTTCACCTTCATGTTTATTGTTGCAACTGGCGTGTAGAAGATCCCAGTAATCCCAGTGAAGAGACGTCCTCGGGTGTTTTTATACAGCTACGTCCCTCGTGTCCGATACTCGAAAAGTTTCCTCCAAAGCAACAGAAGCAGGAAGAAACGGTATCTGCAAGCAGTGGACGTTGTTGTGTAACATCCTGGAGGCTCACAAGAGGTACCTGAACGCACCGCGGCTGAGTGCTTCCTTCAGGGCACGGAGGCTTTTACACAACCATCGAGCTGCAGGAGGAAACAGGCTAAATCATTAACTCCCCACCACGCCCGGACCTGCAGCCTGTACAGAAGGACTCGCACTGCATTGTGGGAGTTCCCAGCAGATTGTTTTGTCCTCTGTTTATTCGCAGCAGCTGTCGTTCGGGCCCTGATGTGTTCAGTGTGCGAGTCAGAGTTTGTCGTCGCCCTGTGTGAAGTGGATTAGCGACCATTAGCCTCTCTGCTGGTGGTGGCTTCATAGCCGGACTCATTAACACGGCGGAGCCTGATTGGTCGGCTGCCGTCAGCTGATCAGGGACCTCACTGTGTTTACAGCCAATTAAAAAAAAGCCTCTGGTCCTGCAGTAATTACCCCCACCACAGGAAAACTGACCCCCCTGTTTGGAAATTTGGAAAACTATAAATTGCGAGGCTGCAGGAGAAGACAGCGTGTCCCCATTGTGTTCCCCAGAGAAACACAGACAGGAACCATAGTGCTAATATATTCATTTTCATAGGGCAGATTAATCACATTTATGGTGTTCTAAACATACAAGGAAACTCATGAAACACACGAACAGTGGACAAGGGGGTAAAGGGGTATGGGTCTTGCACATCGGGGTTGCAAAATGGCTCAATAGTGCCCCCTAAACTGTAAATCTGTAGATACATGTATCATGTCAAGACATTTAAAAAAGCCTCTTGGACCTATACCCCAAACCCAACAGGAAGTCAGCTATTTTGAATTTAATGGTCATTGTCATTTGGCGTTTTACTTGACGTTGTGCTTTAACAAACTTTCCCTCCTCTCCATCCTTTCCTTCCTTTATCTCTCCTTTTCTCCCTCCTCCTCGTCCTCCTCAGACCTGGACGACCCGGTAATAACAGTACATCAGAGCGTCGGTGAGGCGAAGGAGCAGTTTTACTTTGAGAGGACGGTGTTTCTTCGCTGCGTCGCCAACTCCAACCCACCTGTTCACTACACCTGGAGGAGAGGCCGGGAGGCTCTGACCCAGGGCTCCGACTCCGGGGTGGAGATCTACGAGCCGTTTTTTACACAGGTTAAGGAAATACACCTTCAGTTTTTATCAGTATTATTATATTATTGTCAGTCACTCAGGGTGTATTTACACATTCTAACACTTACCTGTTAAGAGCTGCAGGGGTTGGAGGTCAGAGATATTCTGTAGGAGCACACATGGTCATTAAGATTTAATTAAGCAGTACAGTGATGAGTTTGAGTCTGTAATAAATTGTGATTGTGAGGGTGTGTGATTGGCCGATTCCATCGCTGGTTGTTTTTTGGGGTTTATTTTGCTGATTTAATGGTCTTCCTCTGAGGAACGAGAGCCGAACTACGTGTAACTGATAAGAGTTGTTCAGTTGCGTCTGATCATCAATCACTCCTGCACTTTGCTCGGATAATACTACCACTTTACACCTGTCTCGGATCGTACCTGGATCTTACGTGAAGCATGGATTTATTTTTCACTGACTCAGGAGGACCGGATCGCTCCCTGTATGGAGCCCGTTCACCTCCTGGAACTGGGATGATCATCTCGCCAATTGATTTGATTCGCCCAAACTTCTCATGACAAAGGAAACTGCTGTTTCTGGCTGATTCTGGTGTTTTAACTTTTCTTCCTATAGTTTTAGACATTGCTGGTCCTGATTATAATTCATGTATTCACAGTGCTGCCTTACAGGGATTACAGGGATACAGGGACGTAAACCACAATTAATGTTCAAATTCATTCACTTTGACCTCTCCTTAAGTCCATACCTTCTTCGACCGTCACTCTTTTCAGTTTGCTGCTCCCAGTGACTCATTACACAGAATAGTTCTGACCATTATATCATTGCACTTTTGAGTTTGGAACACAGTCCTGTAGTTTGGACTTGTTCAGTCTGCTGCCACCGTGACCCGGCCTCGGATAAGAGGCAGGAAATGGATGGAAGGATGTTTATCTTTATATAAATATAACTTCAGGAGACAGGTGGTGTTACGCAATCAGAAGACTTCTCACCACTTTGTTTTTCAAAGTCATTTCCAGAACTGTCATCTCAGCGCTCATGAGATTTGAGCTGTTTTTTTAATTTTGGCATCATATTTTTTCATATCTAACTTTTTACATTTGCTCACTCATATTTAATTTTACCATCTACCGTGTGACTGTCCAAACCACAAATAACCAGGAAGACAGTATCATAACTTCAGCTTTGTGTCCGAGAAGAACAGTGACGTCTCCCAGGAGTCGAGTTGAAGCTCCATCAATAAACGTCTTTTTAGTCCCAGTTTATCTCTCAGTGGGATTCCTCCAGGGGATCTTGAGGTGCTTGATTAATATGGGCGGTGGTCCATGAGCTGCGGCCAAAAATAGTTAAAAGTTTGATTTTAGTCCAGTTTTTGTTTCACACAGACGTTCGAAACCTCAACGGGTTTACACAGCCTCAGGTATACTTCCATTTACTTCATCAACTCCTCAGACTATTTATATAATCTTTGAGTTTAAAACAAATCCACATCTTTTTAGTGATATTTAAGGTTTCATGAATCAGGATGGATGAATAATGAAGATCAGTCAGAAGTTTCTGTTTTCTCTTTCCCTTTTTGTAAGAATTTAAATATATTTTATAAACCAGATATCCAGATATGACAGCGTCTTTATCTGCAGTGAAGGTGATAGATTTCTTTGAGGACAGTCTTTATTCCTCAGGGAAATGTTTTTCTATCACATAATTATTTAATACTTTAACTACATTTTACTCATTATACACACACTTTTTTACACATTTTTTATGGTCTTGAAAAGCCTAGAAATGGATTCAAATTATCAAATATCGGGGAAATAATCTGTACTTTTTTTTTCATTGTATTTTATCCCCTTGCTCAGATCACCTAAACCTGGGTGCGTATTTTGTTTGAAACTCGACAGTTGGATAAACCACCTGATGACATTTACCAGTTGCAAAGAGGAATGACAAAAACACTCCCTTTTAATGAAAGAAAACCTGAGAAAATGTAGGCAAACTGTAAATTTGCCGGAGACCTCTTAGTTTTGACCACACACCCCATTTTCCTATTTTTCTGTGATTTTGATATTTAACTCAGTGTAGTTGTTGCTGTCTCACGTTGTGGAATGAAGATTTAATCTGTTCAATCATGTCTCTAAGGTTTGAAGATATACAGTGCCTTGCGAAAGTATTCGGCCCCCTTGAACTTTTCAACCTTTTGCCACATTTCAGGCTTCAAACATATAAATATAAAATTTTTTATTTTTTTGAAAAATCATCCAACAATTTACACAATTGAAGTGTAACTCAAAATTCTATTTTATTTTAAACTTTTAACTTAATAAAAAAATGAAAATTTGTTGTCGTGTTTTCCAAAATTATCTCTTCACCCTTTGCCTCTTAATACTTTTATGATGTCCACCTTTTTGCTCATTACAGCTGCAATTCTGTGTTTGTTTATCTCGATCATTTTTGCACATCTATGAACTTGAAATTCTTGCCATTCTTGCCTTTCAAAACAGTGCTCTACTTCAGTGATTTAGTGGCAATCTGTACTGTAAATGAATTCAAGCGCTTTCATACATGGCGCGGCACGAGTCAATCTTATGATC